TGGCTGACGGTGGTTACGTTTTGTGCACTCCTCTCCAGCGGGGTGCAAGTCCTGCCGTCTCGGAGGAGGGTCTGGCCTGGCGGGCACAGGCAGCGGTAGCCACCCTGGAGGTTGTGGCACTGGTGGGCACAGGTCCTGGGCACCTGCAGGCACTCGTTGATGTCTGGAAAGTTGCAGGTGCCAAGGTGGCTCAGGGCTTGCTGCAGCCGTCCCACCTGGGCCCAGCCGCCTCTCTTGCTCCCTGGCCTGCCCCAGAGTCTGGCTGCCTCACCCGCTGCACACAGGCCTGCCTCCAAGCCTTCCCTCCTCTGGGCCAGCCCCTGCCTTGCCTCCCACTCCAGCCTCTCCTGCTCAAAGAGAGCTCTGAGCCCCAGACCCCACGGTGGGCGCACAGCCAGTACTGCCTGTCGTTCTATTCACAGAACTCAGCGTCACCCCGTCACAGCCACTCCCTACCAGGGAGCTGGGGTGCTGCCCAGGGTCCCAAAGAGTGGGTGGCTCTCCCCATACCTAGGCAGGGCAGGCCGGGGCCCTGGGTCCGGTACCCCCTGGGGCAGCTGCAGTGGTGCCCGCCTGGCGTGTTCTCACAGATCTGGTTGTAGTGACACTCATCCGTCAGCTCCAGACACTCATCCACATCTGGGAAGGCAGGGGTGTGAGAGGGGCGTGCTGAGGCCAAAGCCCCTCCCCCAAAGACATCCCATGCCTCTCTGCATCTCAGCTTCATCCCTGTCCCCTTCACCACCTTCAGTGCCCCCAGGTGGATGTTTGGAACCATCCCTCCTAATTATACCAGCTGTGGACGGGAAGAAGGTTCTGGGTCCAAAAGAAGGAAGAGGCTTAAAAGGTGAGCTTTGGAGGCAGAGTCCCAGGTTTGGACTTAGCTCAACCATGTGTCTTGATCTTTGAGCCAGTAACTCTCCCTCTCCGAGCCTCAGTTTCCTCACGTGTAAAAAGGGGTCAAGACAGGACTCCTTCATGAAGTCGTGGGGAGAACACTGGATCATGCACATAAAGGGCTGAGGACTCTGTATGTAGCAAGAGCTCAGAAAGTGGTGAGAAAGAAGGAAGGGAGGGTGGAAGGAAAGCAGGAGGCAGAGGAGCCCTTCAAAGCGTCAGGGTGCCCTGAGGGCCTGAAGCCCCTGAAACGAGACCAAGTTCACGGTGCTCTCCCTCTCCACTGATGGCCTTTCTTGGAGGAACCCGGAGGACCCACAGTCATGAAACCCTAGAATGCTAGAGCAGGAAGGACCCTAGAAGTCACCCACCCAGAGGTGGCACATAGGTTTTGTCTCAAAGGCCAACTGCAACTGATTCACAGTAGCCACTGGAGCTGGAGAAGCTGTGGTGAGAAGGATTCAGAGGCTGTCTCTAGGCTGGACCATGAGGGGCACGGGGGAAGTGGCAGAAGATAGACCATATGTTTGCCATCCCTGACCTGGTCCCCTTCATAGGACAGATAAGACACCTTGGCCCAGAAAGGAAAAGACACTTGCCAAAGGTACGCAAGTTGCCAGCAGCAAGGCTGGGTCAGGACTCAGACCTCCTGAGCCCAGCTTGGGCTGTCTACCCGGCCTTGCTGGGCCCCTTCTGCAGAGAGAGTCCCAGTTTCCCCAATGGCCCAGAATCCCAATGACACACAGCACCCCCTATGCTGAACCCTGGCAACCGCTGGGTCCCCGGAGGATGGACAGCTCCACACCCTGCCCCGTCACCTTCACAACCCGCTCCATCAGCGGCCTCCCGGAAGCCAGGCCCACAATCGGGGAGGCAGCGATAGGACCCAAGCAGGTTCACGCAGCGCTGTCCCTCCAAGCAGAGGTCGGCGTCCCATGCACACTCGTCCACATCTAGGGGCAGACAGGGGCGGGGGCTGCATGGACACTTATCCCGGGCCCAGCCTACCCACACAGGCCCAGAAGCCCCTGGCATGAAGGTCCCCGCCCTCCTGCTAGCTCTGTCCATCACCTCAGCACCCCCAGAAACTCTGAGCCCACCAATGAGGGACCAGGGGGCCATGGCCTGTGGCATCTGAAGGAGCCCAAAGAGACTTGGCAGCTCCAGGCCCCGCTGGTGGGATGGAGGGACACAGATGGGGAACAGTGTCAGGACAGCGTCCCAGGGTCAGATCTGTCATCCAGTAACTTTGCTAAGGGGGCAAGTAGAGCAAGCAGGGCAGATGGGCACCAGCTCACTTCCAACCCAGGTCGACCGGAAATGACCACTGAGGGCTAGGAAAGCTTCTGAGGCCGTGTCCAAGCCCAGCAGGTATGAATGCCGTGAGCACAGGGTGGCCACATGTATGTCTTTGGGGATCCCCATCACCACCCGCCTCCTAGTACTTGAGCTTCTCCTTTCTGTGGGCCCTCAACACAGAACGTCCCCAGTGGGAACAGGACATTGGAACCCCTAGGCTGGCATCCAGTGCCCTCAGGCACGTCCCCTGAGGTATGTGCCCCTGGCCAGGGTCCTGGCCCCAGAATCTCCGGGCACACACCTGGGCCAGGTCCAAGGAGAGCCTCCCCACGGGGGGCCCACTCACCTCTGCAGTTCCTGTTGTCCCTGGCCAGGGCGAAGCCAGCTGGGCAGGAGCAGGAGAAGTGGCCGGGCGCGTTGTGGCAGGAGTGGGAGCAGGGGCTGGGGCCACCCGAGCACTCGTCCCTGTCTGGGGGGTGGGGAGAGGTCTGGTGGTCCGCACGCACAGGCCCTCCTGCCCGCTGGCCAGGACGGCTCGTCCATCCCAGGGAGAGGTCTCCCTTGTCCGTGCCGGGGTGGGGAGAGGGCGCTCACCCACACAGAACTCTCCCTGGGTGTCCAGCTCAAAGCCCTCAGGGCAGCCGACTTCATTCTCTTCTGCAAGGCAAAGGGGACAGGCCCTAAGGACACAAGGGCGCCAGTGCCCGAGGGTCCCCAGGGGTAGAGAGCCCACGTTCACAGCTCCCTCCCTCTCATGAGTGCCCAGCGACTCATGGATCCCATGCGCAGCCCAGGCCTGTCAGGGGCATTGGCTGTGGGTTGTGGCCAATTGCACTGAGGGGCTCACAGGGAGCTGGCCAGACTCCAGGCTGGCAGACGCAGGGAAATTGTCAAAGAAAAGGACAAAGCAAGATGTCTGTATGTGCAAAATTGTGCTCCGAGAGCCTCGAGGAGTGGATGTGGCCGGTGGCTATGCACGGAGGGCACACAGAATGGGTAACTGAGAGCATCTGCTGGGAGCAGCGCACATGGCAGGGCTGGGGCAGGCTGTCTTCTGGGGATGGGAAGGAGACCAGGACAGTACCCTTGATAAAGTGGTCACTGGGTGCCAGGTGTGGGTTTCAGATATGGCGTCTCTACTTCCGACACCCTGCAAGGCAGGCCATGTCATGTCCATTTTATAGATGGGAACCCTTAGGCTCAGAGAGGGCCAGGGCATTGCCCCCAAAGTCCCACAGCTGGGAAGTGGTGTGGCTGAGTCTGAACAAGGGTCTGCCTGATGTCAAAGCTGTGCTCTTACCACTGTCCCAAGTTTAATATTAAAAATACGCTGGGATCTCAAATAATGGTAACAGGTGTATCTTTTAGCATCTGTCGGTTGAGAATAACCCATGGCATGCTCATATGGGTCTCTGAGGGTTCCAACAGTGGCTCCTGGCCCCCTGGGGGGGGGCCTCTGGTGCAGGCCCCCTTGAGAAGAGGGTGGGGTACTGCCCAAGTCAAAGTCAGCCTAGGGGGGTTGGACCTTTACTTTGGGGCCTGAAGAAACACCCTGGAAGGTTTGGACAGGAGTGGCCCGAAGTCTGTGCCCTTGTTGGGGGTGTGAATGGATGGACAGAAGCAAGGACAGTGTGGAGGTGAGCAGACAAGGAGATGAGCTGTCTCAGTCCCAGGTCCCTGGTCCTTGGTCAGTGGATGCAGGGGGTGTGGGGTGGCCTCGGCTTTCAGACAGGTGCATCTGGGGCCCCCGGCAGGCTTTGGCTGGGGCAGTGGGGGATGGAGTCAGGACAGGGTGTAGGGGGCCTCACCAGCCTGCAGGGCTGTGGAGAGCTGGAAGCGCAGGGCCTCGGCCTTGGGGTCGAAGGCCGAGCTGATATCGGAGGCCCGCAGGCGCTGCACCAGCTGGGGCTGGGGGCCCCGCGCCACGTCATACTGGATACTGTGGTTGCAGCGCAGGAATGTCGGGAGGCCGTCTTGCAGGAAGCTCTGCGTGGAGCCCACAAAGAGCTGGCCGGGCCCCATCTGCACGTATCGCTCCTGGAAGTCCTGGAGGGGGAGGGGAGGGGAGGAGAGGCAGGAGGACGCCCGGGATATCAACTTCCTGGGGGTGTGGGACCCTCAGCCCTCCACTGCGGATGCTGGGGTGGAGGCCTGGCGGGCCTTCCAGCTCTTCCTCCGACCAGCTGGGCACCCTCAGGCCTTGGCGTTCTCAGTTATGAAAGAACACCTGTCTCTCGGAGGTGGGGCCCGGAGCATCCTCTCACCAGGCTGCTAGTCCTCCCCTAAGTCCAGCCAGGCCATGCCCCAGCCCCTGCTAGGTTGTCACGAAAGAAGGTGGGCCCCGCTACTAGGGGATGGACAGTGGGAGGAGGCTCACCCACAGCATCTGCACACCTCAGGGCTCGCCCCACTACCTGCACGTGAAGATCTGCATCAGCCAGTCTCTCAGGGACGATGCCATTGACCACCATGTCCAGGAGTAGGAGGCCGTCGGGATCCAGGCCCCGGGCCACCTGGGTCATCATGAGCCTCTCCCCTGTAATCCATCCCACCCAGCCTGGAGTCATCACGGGGGAGAGGCCCTGGGCTCAGACCTCAGCCCCACCCGGCCCACCTGGGGGAGGTCACTGCCCACCTGTGGCAAACTCCACATGCGATTCCTGCTGGAAGCTGCCACCTGTCAGGGAGTGGCCATTCAGGGCATCTCCACTCTCTCTAGCCAGAGCCCAGTAGATGGGGGCAATGATGACCACGAGCACCCGCATCAGTGGCCCTAGACGGGGCGAGCATGGAAGCCAGGTTAGGACTTGATCCTGGAGGTAGCTGCTCTCCTGCTCAAGGTCCTTCAGTGGCTCCCTATTGCCCCCAGGAGTGCTCAGCCCCTTCCCTCCCCACTTAGGCCTGGCCCTGTGATTACTTGGACTAGTTATTGGATCAGAACCTGGGAAGAGGTGAAAGCAAATATCTACTTCAGGGAACAGCTGTGAAAATTAACAAAATATATTTATACGAAGGAGTGCATTTAATATTCAACTGAATTCAATAAATATGGAGGGCCACTGGGTCACCACAGAGCCTGGGATTGCACAGATGGTCACTACATATATGCCAGACCAAGATGAAAATCAACTGTCTTCTTACTCGCAGGTACCTTCAGAAGAGCCTGGGCGAGGCAGGCTTGCTCTAAACCACTGACTTGGAGAAAAGAGCCCGAAAGTCCTGTGGCCACAGATTCTCAGACCCTCCCACGATGCCCAGGCCTCCTCCAGAGTAGGTGGGGTCTGGGACTGGGGCAGGGGAAACCCCGCTTGCTTGGGGCCAGGGATATGGTCCAGCTTCTCAGTCAAACTGCTAGCTCAGGAGAGAGGTGCAGGAGGGCTGATGACCACAGGAGCCAGCTGGGCCCCTGGGCCTGGGAGCGGAAACTTCTCAGCCTTCCTGTGCCTCTGTTCCCACTCAACAGAGCCTGGCTCACCTGGCTTCACGGCTCCTGCTCCTGCGGCTGGAAGCAGCAGCCACATCTGGACAGCGTCTCACTTCACTCCCTCTCCGCTGACAGCCAGCCCGGAGGGACCACCCCACGTGCCTCTGTCCCACCCAGTTCCCTGACCCCGCACTGTTCACAGTCGTGGTCAAGGATGGCTTTGGAGGAGCTGCTTTTAACAAAGCCCCTGTCTGCACTGCCCTCTGCCTAGTCTGGATCCCCTTGAGGAGATGCAGGACCCCCTGGGCAGGGTCCATTACAGCAGCATTTGCAATATCTCTCCAGAACATTCCATTTGCTTAGGACATACTATGTTATGAATGTGCTTGAAAGTGGACACTTCTTGGTTCTCCGGGCCTTCTAGCTAATGCTATTCTCCATGTTTCCCCCTTTCTGGCCCCTCCGGCCCATACCCCTTACTCCTTACTAGTGAGCCCTTCCCTTCCCTTCCCTAGAGGCTCTTGCCTTAATAGTGGAAAAGCCTCACATGGCAATCAGTGGTTTCAAAAGTCATCATCTGATGCTGCAGTCACCTAAACCTGGTAATTTCGCACTCTCTGGGGCTGTCAATGCAGTTGTTCCGTTTCGTTGGGGGCTGTGGGGTGGGGAGGAAGTGGTCTGCATCTCGGTCCACTGCGGCTGAGACTCTGCTCCCCTGGGAGTCAGGCCCCAGGAAGCCTCGGAACTCAGGCTTCCCCTCCCCCTGGGTATAGCAGGAGGGTCTCCAGATGCGGGAGATGCTCTGGGCCACACTTACCCACACTTGCAGGGACGTGGCTGATGCTGCTGCGGATGGTGGTGACCCCAGAACGTGCCTCCTGCTGCGCACTGGTATTGAGGACAGCCACGCCAAATTTCTGGCCGTTGATCACCCCAATCATGCTGCCTCGGCCCCCCTGTGGCTCCTCTGTGAGGAAGGAAGAGAACAAGAGTGACTCTGTCCACCTCAGTGCCGTTGGTATATGCAGGGACTGTCGTCCATTTCATGAAAGAGTGAACTGGGGCTCAGAGAGGGGCAATAACTTGCCCAATGACACACAGCTCATGGGTGAAGAACTCAGTGCTCAGGGGATCCTGGCTCCAAGAGAAAAGAGAGGCATTTAAGAGGAGCCCCACACAGGGAGGGTGCCAGCTTCTAATTCTGGCTCTGCCATCACCTTCTTGGAAACCTTGTCAAGTCAGGCCCCCAAGCCACACTGAGTTAGCTTATCTATAAAGTAAGGAGGTGGGACCACAGATGCACCAAAGACCTGCTGGCTTCTAAAGTGCGAGGAGCCCAAGATAGTGAGTGGGGGCTGGCACCCTGGAGGAGCCAGGAAAGAGAGGCAGGGCACCAAGCCAGGAGCTGACTGCCGCCACCTGAACACCTCCCATTCCATCAGGGGCCCTGGCTCCAGCTGCCCTGCAGCTGGCCTGGCTGGAGTGGGCTGAGTTTCTAGCAGCCGCCAGGCAGTCTGCAAACAGACGCTCCTCAGCGCTAATCAAATGGATGGTACGGGCACAGGGGGATGCTTCCTCTGGCTAATGAGCCAGCTGTCTCGTTTGGACGGATGGCGTTCTAGGGGGCAAGAGACAGATTTCTCCACTCATCAGCTCTCGGGGGAAATTAACAACAAATTGCCCAGGATCTGTCGAAAAAATAACATAAAACACTCAACTGCCAAGATCCTAAATGGATAAAGCGGAGGACTGGGTAATTTCGGATTCCAGGAAGCACAGCCATTTCCCGCGGCCCGTAGCTGGGGTCTGATGAGATTTGATGCCCATCTGGGACGTCTCTCATCAATAAACACAGCTCAGGGGTTCATGGGAGGGAAAAGAGAAGGCCACGAACCCTCCTCTGGTCTTGCAATAACGGGACAAGGGAGGAGCTGGGAGCTGTAGGTGAGAAGGCAGCCGCCCGGCCCTGGTGGCTTTCGGAGGGGACAGGAAAATGGAGGCCAGGAACGACAAGCCACTGTCAGCTTTCCTAGACATGGGGTGACTCAGCAGTCTCCTGTCCCCACTAGGCCAGGTTCCCCCAACTGACAGGAAAGGAGGGAGAGAGTTAGGGGGCCTCAAAGCCTTTGAACACCTTTAACCTAGCAAAATTCCTTGAAGGATCTCATTGTATAGAAATATTTGGGCCTCTACACAAGGATGTGCACCACAGTGTGGTTTTTGGAGGGGAAACTGGGGGAGAAAAACCTGTTGCTCATTAGTGAAGCTAACAGCAATTAAGTTTAAAAAACACTCCTGTGGAATGATATGGAACCGTTACAGAAGATGTGAGCTAGGCGTCTTGTCATGGGATGTTGTCTGAGATACAGGAAGTAAAAATGGCAGGTTGTAAACACAGCTTGTACACTTGACCTCATTTGTAAAAAAGAGAAAAGTGTTATCTCTTGACACGCAGGGAAAAAAGTGTAGGACAGACCCTAAATAGTTAGCCTGAGCTATTTCTGATGATTGGATTACGGGAGAGAATTGGTCATTATTTTTTTTCTTCACAGATTTTTAAAAAATTGGCTGGCTTTTCCACCATTAACATAGATGGGGTTAGAAATTAGTTGTTTCCATTAAAAAAGTAAGGAGGCTGTTATGGGTTGAATTGTGTCTTCATAGAAAGCTGTGTTGAAGTTCTAATCCCAGTACCTGAGAATGTAACTTTATTCGAAGGTAGGGTCCGTACAGAGGTGACCAAGGTGACATAAGGTCACAAGGGGGGCCTCAACCTAATATGACTGGTGTCCTTACGTAAAGGAAAGATGCAGAGATGGACACGAGCACAGGGAGAAGACCATGGTGGCAGAGGTCAGGGTGACGTTTCTAGACACCAAGGAACTCTTAAGATGGCCAGCAAACTATCAGAAGCTGGAGAAGGCTCTGGAACAGATTCTCTATAACAGACCTCAGAAGCAACCAACCCTGATTACACCTTGACCTTAGATTTCCAGCCTCCAGAACTGAGATAATAAATTTCTGTTGTTTGAAGCCACCCAGTTTATGCTCCCTTTGGTGGCGGCCACAGGGAACGCATCCAGAGGCCATGTGGAGAGCACTGTGGGGTTGGGAGCTTTTCGGACAAGGTAAGAACTGGGACCACGCTCTGAAATAAAGGGAGGGGCTGCTCAGACCTGACGCTGCCCTCGAGACGGCTTCTGTGCCCGGGTGTCAGAGAACCACTGAATGTTCAGAGCTGCGCATGTTGGTGTTACCCCCTGCCTGCAGGAGATAAGGAGGCCAAAAAAAGAGGCCAGAAGGAGTCCTACAGTTGGCTCGCAGTGGGTTTCAGGTGGGTTTTCAAGTGGCAAAGTGTCAGTGCTCTATTCCAGTTAGTCCAGAGGTGCTGCCTGGGGAAGCATTCTATGGGGAAGGAATCTGATGTTGTGTATGGTGATAGATTAGTGATGTCTGCCATGGGCAGGGATAGAGACCTAAAGCCACAAACATGAAGTATTTACTGCAGAGGCACAGAATTCATATGCGCAGTGACTTTCCTTTACGCAGGCAGAGTCATTTTAATGCAATTTCTTGGGATGGTCCTTTTCCAAATTTTGACATTTGCTCTGACCCAAGGGACAAGGGAGCTGATGAAGGAGACCTGAGATGTCAGGGGTTAGTAACCCCAGTAAGCAGCCTCTGTTACTGAGTACCGACCATGGGCAGGCAAAGCTTGGGACAACATCAATTCACAGACTTCACAGCAGCCCTCAAGATGGCCACCGGGGACACCTCTGCTTTACTCTGCCTACTCCCCAGGGTTGTGGCATGTCTAAAGAGAGGCACACATTTATGCCAACTAAATTGGAACAGCCAGGGTCTCCTGTCCAAGGGGAGCAGCAAACACTCAGCATCTCAGAGCTTCAGTTTCCCCAACTGTAAAGGCAAGGTAGACAAGACAACCCATAAGGCTCTCTGGGCTGTTAATGCTAAGTTTGTGACTTAAGCAAAGAGAAGAGCTGGGGAGCTGTCAGGGCAGTGAGCCAGGTGCCCCACAGGGCAACATACAAATCCCCATTGGGCAGGGGACCCCACCCCTGTCCATGAAGTTCTGGGCAGGGACACCCCATACCTCTCACGGTCAGGAATGCCCGGGCTGTGGCAGAGCCCAGGAGGTTGTGAGCGATGCACTCGTACGCGCCCGCGTCCCCTGCCTCCACACGCTCCAGCCACAAGCTCCCATCCGACAGGGTCCGGAGCCGCCGGCTGGCCCGCAAGGGCTGGCCTGCACGCAGCCACTCCACTGTGGGCACGGGCTCTCCAGCAGCCTGGCACCGAAGGGCCACATCCTCCCCGGATCTCACTGTCACGTCCTGGGGCTTCACCTGGAACACTGGGGCACCTGTGGGAGCCCAGGACAGCTTTTAGAGACATTTCACTATTTTTTTACAGGCAGACCTCGGAGATATTGTGGCTTCGGTTCCAACCACCACAATAAAGTGAATATCACAACAAAGCAAATCACATGAACTTTTTGGTTTCCTAGTGCATATAAAAGGTTATGTTTACACTACACTGTAGTCTATTAAGTGTGCAATAGCCTTATGTCTAAAAATAAAATCTGTAGGCCTTAATTAAAAATACTTTATTGCTAAAAAATGCTAACCATCATCTAAGTCATAATATTTTTGTTGGTGGAGGGTTTGAAATCTGGCAAGAATTACCAAAACATGACACGGAGACCCGAAGCGAGCAAATGCTGTTGCAAAAATGGTGCTTATACACTCACTCGATGCAGGGTTGCCCAAACCTTCAATTTGTAAAAACTGTAATATCTGTAAAGTACAGTAAAGTGAAGCCCAATAAAACGAGGTGTGACTGCATTCAAGTGACACCTACTTGTTCAGACAGGTTAGAAGATAGAGGCAAACGGCCCTCCCACCCAGTTACCATTCCTGAGCACTTCCTTCTACACAGCTTCCTTATGAGAATGTAACAGTGTTGCCCCTCCTTTCTCTTTCTTTCTCTCTTGCTTTTTCCTTAATTCTACAATAGATCATAACTACCTTTCATAGCATTAAATGTTCATTTTTAGTGACTACTTGGTATTCCATCGCTTGAATCTGTTATCATTTGCTTAACCAGGTCCCTATAAAAGGACATTTAGCTTGTTTCCAATGAAAGGGTGACATTTGTCAGAGCTGCCTCTACTTGATGGCAGATGAAATGGGCAGACGCAGGTCCTGCCACTTGCTGGTGATTGTGATTCTCACCAAGTCACTCCCTGACCCTCTGTTTTCTCATCTGAAACAGGATCATTCCTGTTCACTTACTAACAGACCATCCAGAATGGCTAAGATGAAAAGGGTGGAAAGTGTCCAGTGCTGGTGAGGATGTGGAGCAAGTGGAACTTGCACACGCTGCAGGGGGAGGTATAAATTGGTACAACCACTGTGGAAAACCACTGGCCAGTGTGTTAGCTTCTGGAGGCTGCTGTAACAAATGGCCACAAATTGGGTGGTTTAACAGCAAAAACTGGGGATGGGAGGAAGAGCTCAGTGGTAGAGTGTGTGCTTGGTGTGCATGAGGTCCTGGGTTCAATCCCCAGTACCTCTGTCACAGAGGGAAAAATTTAATAAAAATTAAAAAATATTTTAAAAAACAGCAAACATTTATTCTTTCACAGTTCTGGAGGCCAGAGGTCCAAGATCAGTTGCTTTCATGGGGCTAAATTCAAGGTGCCACGCTCCTTCCTGAGGCTCCCAGGGAAAAGCCGTTCCTTGCCTCTTCTGGTGGCCTCTGGCTTTCTGTGGCTTAAATTTCATGGCTGAACCACTGCATTTTCTGTCTCCTTCTTTACATCATCTTCTCTCTCTCCCTCTAATCTCCCTCTGCTTCTCTCTTATAAGAACACTTGTGAGAGCATTTAGACCCCACCAAGATCCTTAACTTCATCACACCTGCAAAGATCCTTTTTCCATGTAAGGTAATGTTCACAGGTCCTGGAGACCAGGACGCGGTCATATCTTTGGGAGCCATGTATAGCCTCCCACAGCCAGTATCTCCTAAAGCTGAACCGATGGGTCCTGTACGACTCAGCGATCCCGCTCCTGGATGCATGCCCTCACAGAAACAGTGGGCACGTTCACCACAAGGCATGCATGCGTACGAATGTCCCAGCAGCATTGCTGACGTTTGCCCCAAACTGGAGACTAACCTACAGCAGAATGCGTAAATAAACTGCCTTACAGCCACAGAGTGGAAACCCCTAGAGCAACGAGAAGGATTAAACTAATTCCACGTGCAATCTCACACACCACGTTGTGTACAAGTGGCCCGACACAGAGCACATGTGACATGGTTCCACTTCAATAAAGGGCAAAAATAAACAAGAGCAAGACTTCAGCTCTGGCTGAGTGAAGAGGTCAGCGAGTTGGCTCCTCCCCCAAAAAACAAGGAACAAGCTTGACAAAATTGTCAAAACCAACTCTTTCAGGGCTCTAGAAATCAACTCAAAGCAAACAACAAATTGAGAATCATTTGTCTCAGAAAAGCTTCTAGAACTTTGGGCCCAAACAGTGGAAGGGTGTGGCCAACCCCGCCTGAGGCTGCTCCCACCCCCACCCCATCCGGTCATCATACTAGTTCTATGGGGGCAGGGCTGGCTGCAAAACCGGCAGTTTTGCTGTAACCAGAGGCCGATTTGATTTGCAGTAGAGGATGAAGGCGTGCTCTGAGAAACCAGGTGCACTGTCGGGAAAGGCGTGGAATTCTTGGAAGCAAGTGGGGAACTGGCACCTGCTGGCCTGCAGTCCTGGCCCTGGTTAAGGAGACCAAGGACCAGCCGGAAATTTAATGAGGAGGACCGGGAGAGGAGGGAGCCCTAGAGAGGCTGTCCACACACCCCTGGCAGATATGGGAAATACGCACTTGTGCAGGGGAATACCAGAGGGCCAGAAGAGTCAGAGCCCAGGCTGAACTGAAAGCTGCATAAACTTTTTTCTTTCTCTTTTTCTTTTTTTCAAACGATCTCAATAAAGGAGTCTGAAAATCAAATCGTAATAAATATTAAAGTTTTGAAAAAAACCCAATAACAATAATATAGGTGGCATTAGTTGATTATTTTCTGTGTGCCAGGCACAATGCTAAGCACTATACATGCATTATTTTATTTAAGCCTCACATTACTTATGATGCCTATTATTAGCCCTGTCTTAAAGATAAGAAAACTGAAGTGCAGAGAAATTAGATGATTTATGTAGGGTCACGGAGCAGATGGCTAAGCCAGTAACAATCCCAAGTAGACTGAGCCCGGAACCTGCCCTCTTAACCAGCAAGACTGAAGAAAGTATGACCTATTCCTGCCTCAGGGCCTTTGCACTTGCTATTCTTCCTGCTTAAAACAATTTCCCCTGGATTGTCACGTGGATGCCTCCTTCATTCAGATCTCAACTTACATTTTTAAATACTTGAAAATTTTAAAAAGTGGCCTTTCCTGATCACCCCATTCCCCAAAACTGCCTAAACTTTGAACTATTCCACAACCACATTCAGATGCATTGATGGAGGGTGAGAGTTTTATTTTCTTTGCCTTTAATTTTCAGAAGTTTGAGTGTGATGTGTCTCAGGCAGACTTCCCTGAGTTTATCCCGTGTGAGTTTTGCTCCGCCCCCATCCTCCTTCTTTACTATACTTTTCAAGCTATCCTTAGCGAGAGGAATAGGCAGAAGTGCTTCTATGCCACCTTGTCTGGAACCAGAAACCTACCCTGCCCCCGCCCCCCGCCCCCACTATCCCCAACCACGACAAAAACTCTCAGCAAACTAGGTATAAAAGGGAACTTTCTCAGCCCGCTAGAGGGCATCTACAAAATACCCACAGCTGACGTCATGCTCAGTAGTGTAAGACTGAAAGCTCTCCGCCTAAAGCTGGGAACAGGGCGAGGCTGCCTGCTCTCCTACTCCTGTTCAGCACTGTATCAGAGGGTCTAATCAGTGCAATAGGAAACATGGAGAAATTAAAGTTACCCAGAGGGGAAAGGAAGAGGAAAAACTGCCTCTACTCATAGATGACATGTAGAAAATTCTGCACCCCAATCTTCACAGCAGCACTATATACAACAGCCAAGACATGGAAACAACCTAAATATCCATCAACAGACGACTGGATAAAGAAGCTGTGGTATATTTATACAATGGCATACTACTCAGTGATAAAAAAAGAATAAAATAATGCCATTTGCAGCAACGTGGATGGACCTAGAGATTGTCATTCTAAGTGAAGTAAACCAGAAAGAGAAAGAAAAATGCCATATTCTACCACTCACATGTGGAATCTAAAAAAGAAAGAAAGAA